CTTTCTGAGCATATTTTTAGAGGACTTTAGGGGTCCTAGAAAGACAGTTTTTCTTCTTAAAATCGTGCGCTCGAAAAGTGCAGGTAATCATGGTGCGTTGCAGGCCAAATCTGAAAACTTCCAAGGTCTTGTTTTCATTCCTAACACGGATAAATTACTGCTTTGGGCTTTAAAATAGAAAGGAAAAATACAAATCAATGTTCAAGTGGCCTCAGAATGGAGGATCAAGGAGTACAGAGTCCTCAAAACTTTCTGGTGAAGAAGTGTTTCTTCCTACAACCGCTGAGAAAACATGAAGATCGGAGCACCTTCAAGTAAGTTTTGATGACAGATCGCAGGTTTAAAGCAGCTTTTCGGACTTCAGAACAAACGTGGTAATGTACATTATTACTTCAAAGTTGAATTCAACTTTTGGAACGATTGGTAAAGCCATGGGCGTTAAAATGACTGCAAAAGCAGTCGGCAAAAACTCAAGCTTTCATGTTAGCGTGAAGAATAATTTGAACATGCAGTCATGCAGCGAAGCACGTCTGTGAAATTTTGAACAATTTTGTGCTTTTAAATAGGTTTCTTCGCCTCAGCTTGAATGAAAATTTATTGTTATTGAGCTTCCTTTCGCATTTCTTTCATTTGGTTCCCTGTATTTGGGAATTTTAGGTTTTAAAAGTGAACAGTAACTTGCACACTGGATTTCTGAATATTTAATTTATGGCGACCTCCAGGCGCTTTGTTTATTTAGTTTATTCGCTTTGTTCAAATATTTTTTGGAGTCTTATTCAGCTACTACAGAACAACTGAGAAAGGAACTAAATGGCCACTGATTTAACACAGTTGAAATATGACTGATCTCAAAATAATTGGCTTGTTTTTGTCGTCTTTTTGATTTACGACTTTCATCCTTCTTTCACAGCACTGTAATATTTTGTCGCATGGCGAAGAAATTATTCGATTTCTTGTTTTCAGATTGATTTTTACATGAGTTCTTCGCTTTTATTTTTTGTTGTTTTCTCAAATGTTAGCCATTATAGTACAAGAATTCAATTTTGTTTTATTTGGTTTTGTTTTTGTCCTCCAAAGTCAATAATTAACTTATTTTCGCAAAGTCAATTTTCTCAGCTTCTGTGGGACATTTTGTCACACAGTAAAGAAATAATATAATTTCTTGTTTTCTCATCAGTTTTACACATTAGGTTGAGTTCTTTTTGCTAATATTTTTTAATATTTTGACTCTTCATTTATTCAACTTTAAATAAACAATGTCTTGAAACCTGATCTTGTGTCTGTGGTTACTGCGCATATGGTTTATTTTCTTGCTTTTGCTCGCTCTGAAATATTTCACAAAACACCAGGGAGTTAGGGGTGGGTCACGGGCAATTTCATTCAGGCGTCAATGGGTAAAGCGGAATCTGTCTTAGTCATCTTGGCTAGAGGGGTAAAATCAACACACCTGGCCAGTTGGTCAAAAGGTGGACAACGCTATCCACCAGATAAATCAAGACAGTACCCTCCTTGTTGTCCTGCTGTGAAAGCTTAAGCTTGGTGATTTTTTCCCATTCATTCCAGAACATAGTTGGAACAAGACAGCCATTTTCCATTTCCAGTTCTGCCTCATCAAATCTCTCCTCGGTATCTGCCAATGCTCCGCCATTCTATCCTGCAGCTGACACAGTAGAGTCTGTGGTAGAGAGTGCACTAGACGACCTTAACCTTGATGACTTTGATGTCACTGAATTAGAGAAGGAGCTTAATAATGCCTCTCCAGTGTCATCAACGCTAGGAGATTCCTTGTCAGCACTGAACATTACTCCAATGTGCTCAGCACCTGTTACAATTCCGGGATCTGCTGAAGCAGGCTTACCCCAACCATTCACACAGTCACCCACCTCACCATTAGGACAGTTTTCTTCTTCTTATAGCTCTACGTCACAGTTAATGTCTGGACAAAAGGTAATGCTTTAAGAACATTTTTATATTATTTACTATTTAGGACTTTTTAGATGTGACCTGTGTTGCACCATTAATAATCAATAGTATTTTTTTTTTTTTATTTGGTACTGAAAAATGCCCCACAATACAATAAACCAGGAGGAAATTTGTGTAAGATCACTGGTTTTAAAAGAACTGTGCATTACATTATATATAATAAATGCACATTAGCTGAGAGACTTTCTGCTACAAATTAATGGGACTATAGCACAATACTTAATCTGCAAGTCACTTTTGTTGTCAGATGGAGAGAAACTTCAAATTGATTTATTAATAATAAAGTAATATGATGATGAGGGCCAGCTTCTCATAGGCTGGGCAATTCTTTCCACTGGACAAATCACAATCTGTCTTACATTTGTAGGATATATTTGTTTTGCTTTTGTCCAAAACGGCTAGTGTTATCCAGCTTTAGAAAAACCAGAGCCAGGAAAATAGAAGCTACTCGTTAAGAAGTACGTAAAATTGGAACAGATTGAACTGTATGTAAACATGTAATTTCTATTTGTGTCCTTTCGAAATGCAAATCAAAAGTGTAAACTGTAGTTACCTAGAATCTGTTTTGGGCTTACAAAACCAAGGGTTTTTTGTTTTTAGTTTGGTTGTATTTTTTGCTGCTGTTATTGTTGTTTCCATGATTTAGATTGTTTTTAAGACTTCTCTGAATGCTCAGAGTGTCAAGTGTGGCTGGTTTTGGTACCGACACTTCGTCAGGAACTGTTTTGATTTGTACTCTTTATTTGGTGTCACAGCATGGCATTTTGTGTGTTCCATAGGGCTCCAATCCATACCGTGCCAGTCCATTAGTAAGAGGCAGCAACCTACATTCATCTGTACTGGATCCACTTACAGCTCAACTCCATTCACCCAAATCACTTGGCTCTCCCCAATTGTCCTCTCCCTTGGGTCTCAGCAACAGTTCAAGTGAAATTCAGCGACTAAGTGAAGATCTCATGGCTGCCAAGACCAAGTTGGCATCATGGGAAGAGTCGTGGGCTCAAGCCAAGCAGGCTTGTGATGCTTGGAAAAAGGAAGCTGAAGAATCAGCTAAAAAGGCAAAAGAAGCAGAACAAGATAAATTAGAAGCTATTATGAAAAAGGATGAGGTAAACAGATGAATAAAATTTTAAGATTTACATGTGATTTATCTTTTTAGGGAAATAATGGAGCTCAATTTGTGCAGGATTTTTATGATACGTCATCTTGATTTTTCATCCAAGATGAATAAATCTGTCCGAGAAATCAACTGGGTTATAAAAAGATTACTTACACTGATGCTTTATTGACAACTCCATACTCTCAAGGGAGTGCTAAACACAAAGGTTTCAACTCCTCATGTGTCAACTTTCCTGTGCTGATGTAAACACCTGTCTCTCCAAAGTTACATATTACAAAATACATACCGGTTTATTAGGAAGAATTCAGGATGAAGTTAAGGATGTTTTTGGAGAAAATGCAGACATTTTTTGTTTTGTAATTTTTTGTACAAATGTAGTTTTGTAAAGGTCAGGAACCTTGTTAATTTAAAACCAATTCAAACTTAATTTAAACATTTGTGTTGAAAAATAAAAACAGTTCTCAAGAAAGTGGAGTTCTATAAAGAAAGAAAGGAAACATGTAGAAACTCTGTTGATATGATGCTTCTGTTATAGGTTGAATCTCAAATGGCAAGCTTAAAACAAGAAATTGAAGAAATTAAAGGTGACCCTCACCTTCACATACTAAACACAGTGGAAGACATAAGGGATCTACCACTGTTAAAAATGAAACAGATTCATCGACAGCTTAGTTCAGATTTAGACAAATTAAATCAGGTAGGTGGTCATGACAACAGGTAAAACCTTAAGCAGATAACTTGACTTTCAATGATCTGTCTAGGTTTGCACAGTCATTAGGAATCGTAACACGTCAAAAATACACTGTGTTGAAGTTTTTACTCTTCCGCAGTCTGCGTCTAAGTAATTGAAGTGTTCTACTTGAAAAATAAATATATGTACAACTTTTATAAACCTACAAAGGTTTCAGAGTTAACTGGATTTTTAATTCTGGTACCAATATCATGGGCCCAGGGCCTGAAATAGTTGTGACTGTTAATAAGACCAAAACTTTTTCCTTGATGACTAAAATTCTGGTTTAGTCACAACTCTGGTGATGTATTGAGCTCTGAGAAATTAAAGGTATCAATGAGAGACAATTTCCTAACAATTATTGTTTTGCTTTTTCTGCAAAAAGAGTGGGTCAAATCACATTAATGGGCCATTCCCTGTATGAGATATGCCTGCAGGAAATCATGGTAGTTGTACTCATCATCTTGGACTGGATATTTGTCTTGATGAATACAACTACGATTCCCTGAATGAATACAGCTGATTCCCTGTAGGCACATCTCTTAGAAGGAATAGGCCATGTTCTATACATCAATATTCTAACATGGCTCTGAGGCTTTCAGGTCAAAATTTCAAACTTTCTAAGTTTCTCTTGTCCCTCAATTCCCAAAGGACACTTGGATAGAAAGAAAACAACACCAAATATAGGCGTCTTTCCCAAAAGCCTCGGAGCTGTGTTAGAATATTGATATATCAAACATGGCCTATTAGCCATTGAGTCTGTTTAGCTTCAAGTGTCAATTTCAAACTACAAGTTTTGCAACATCACAGCACATTAACCCAATTATTGCAGGGGCAGAGTTTTATAGAAAGGTTGCCATGTTTGATTCCTTGTGTACACTCACTTGAAACATGAAGTCAGCATTAGATGCTATCCACCAGAACCACATCTCTCTTTAGACTTTCTCTTATATCGCTATGTTGACTAGGACCACCAAGTATGTAAACAAAAAGAACTACAATGTTGATGGTATCTCTGAGAATTGCAACCCGGGACAGTCATATCATGTACAAACATATAGTATGTAGACTATTTGTGAATAATTTTAATATTTAAATGTACAGATTCCTTTTATTTTCTTTTTCAGGTGATGTACAGTAGAGTAGCTTTAATTTGCAGTCTTTGTGAAGAACAACAGAGATGTGTTATGACAGCGCCATGTTTACATTGTACGATGTGTGAGGCCTGTGCTTCACAGAGATTGGAATGCCCAACATGTCATGTTCAAATTGCACAAAAAACCTTGATAAATATACCTATTTGAGGACGTAATATATTGCAGTTAGGCAGCGTTTAGCCTGTTTTCAATTCCCTGTTAGGACTTGATATGATGTTTAAAAATCTATGAATTTAGCTTTTAAGGTATAATTATAATGCATATATTATTCAAAGAATATTTCTTAGGGATTACGAATGCTTGTTTCATCGTCAAATTATTATTATTAATATTATTATTTCCTTTCAAGTAATGAATTTATTGTGAACTTGGAGGTCGAAGCATTTTGTGCTGGATGTACATTATTCAGTGTATTTATCAGCACTTCTTATTCTAAGGATTCCAGAATAAATGTCAAATATAAGTTGTCCATTGCAATGGCAGACTGAAACAAAGAAATTAAACAGCTGTCAGGTCACAACGAATCACAGTTGTGGGATTCAAATCCTTTGACACACTTCTTACCTTATCCCTGTCCTTGTTCTTCTCATTTATTTTTTTGTTGTTGTTCTTACTTACTTCAGTTTTGCAAAACATTGGAGAATGCAAATCAGCGATAGTGAAATTGAACGTTTTGATGACTCCAACCTAATAATGATGACATGGAGTTATTGAAACATCATTCCATTTTACTATCGCTGATTTTTATACTTCCTCTTTATTTTAGAATGTTGTCTCTGCTTCATTTAACTGGTGACTAGACATATTCATATAGTAGGGGAATACAAAATTGGTAATTTTTGGGGTGTGAGTTGTGTTAGAAAGAGGAGGACATCTCTGTGAAGAGATTAACAATGTTATGTAATGATCTCTCAATTTGAACAGGTCATAATATTTGAGAAATTTATTTATCATATTGGTACTTGTAGATGTTTTAAAATTATTCTAGGGTTTCTTTTGCACCCTACTCAAGGTGAGTAACCTCTTTCACCTAATACAAGTTACTCTACCTTTTACTTTTAGTATACTGTTTATTATGCATAGAGAAATGGTTATACCATGCAGTGTATGTTTGGGAGAATGGGAAAAACTGCATGGCTGTTTCCAACTACATTATGTTTCAAGTTCAGATTTTTAAATATTAACACATTCCTAAAACTCTATACAAACAAGGAAGGAAATCAATTAAGTTGCTCAAAATATATAGTGTTGCCATAGGGTACTTGGTATCTGGTCTATTTCATGTCACTAATCCCTTGCCCTCTTCAATACTCCTGTCTCATACCAGTAATCCCACTAGAGAAGATTCCTGTCCAGTATTACTATGACATGATAAGAATAGTTACCACAGAAATATCCCTGGTTTTCAGAAATGAGAAATGAAACATGAAAGACCATGTATGACTGTATTTCCAAACACTGAGAAGAGAGTTGAAAATACCATTTGAAGTGGAGTATTTTTGACGAAATTTGGGGTGTTTTGGAAATGTGGTCAAACACTGTCTTGAGTGTTTGATGTATGACCGTATATCTTCTTAATCGAAAGTAACACTAAGGAGAAAGCTGAGAAATAAAATCACGAAAGTCTCTGCAAGCTATAAGCATGGCTTAAGGTGGCTGAACACAGTTTTTGATACCTGTGTTTCAGTCACCTTTTTCTCTAAAATCTTTGATCCCTCGGTCGTCAAAAATGGCAGCAAGCAAGTTAACAACACTGTTGATGGTGAAGCGGACATATATGCCAATGGCTTGGCAACATGAATAAATATAAACAGGCCTTTAAAATCGGTTTTGTTTATTTTGTAGAAAATCTAGTCATTAGGTTTTCTTTGTAATTTGCATGCAACAAGCTTGTAACGATTCTCACAAGTTAACACCATTTTGCTAATAATTAAACAGAAATCTTTAATTATCCCTTGTTGAAGGTTCACTGGAATATCTAGAATTTCCTTTGTTAACGTTCAATTATTTTCAACACTCCAGTTACTTATTTCTTAAAGTATTTTCAAGCCAAATTTCGTGAAATTCTAATGAGTGGTTCTCGAGAAATAAGCGTATTTCCAAGAGTCCAATTTTTCATTCAATTGCAATTTTGTTACTATGCATGCGCTGCATTTAACTGGATTCTTTCAGTAACAAAGAAAAAGCTGAGAATTGCAAGGTTCTTTGCATCGTTACCTTTTCTAACATATCTTTGTAATAAAAGACTAAAACCATCAACACTGCATTCAATTATAGAGAAAAATAGCACAAATAATGTGGGTGTTGAGTAAATAAAATGATCTCTCTATTGACAGCATGTTTGTTTTTTGCAATCCGTGTGCATGCACTGAATTGCATCAGCAAAAATGCGTTCAAAATCTGTCTTCGGCCACCTTAACTGATTGTAAGCTTAATTTAACGCAATTTCAGAACAAAACTAATCACCACACCCTAAATTGTATTTACTTCTGAAATGCTAAAATCACAACAACATTAAAAAACTCATTTGGGGGCTAATAGGTTGAATATTGGTCTTAAAGACGCCAACTTCATGTGGTTTTTCTTTAACCATCAACCAGTTGCATGGCCATTTCGTTCTCCTGCTGCAAGGATGGAAAGGAAGTTATCTAAGCACAGTGCTGAAGGCAGTTGTTTTAAAAACTGTCCATGGTGACCACAAGTTTCAAGGGAGTACAGATTTTGGTAAAAGCTCTCAAAGCCAGAAGATAGTGTGCTGTATCACACACCGACATAGAGAAAATTTGTGCTGTCGAGAAAAAGAAATTCCCTACACTTTACCTCCAATATTTTTTACGTCTTTCTTCCTGAATGTAGTGACTTTTTTTATGAGCCTTAAAAGGTTTCCATCACTCGTCCTGTTTCAGCTTAACCCTATGACACACCTTGTCACAGCTGTGCAGCAGTTTTGACAGTTATGCACCCATACCTAACATTTCTGCATGGCTGTTTAGAAAACCACTGTCAAATGTTTCCTGAAAATGGTTCCTGAAACTGTGAAAAATTTCCAAAGCTAACATGAAGAGAAATGTGCAAGTTTTGACTGCAAGATTGACTTTATTAATGTACAATAATGTTCTAGTGTAATTTACACTAATTAGGTGTTGACAATAAAAAAGAAATAATAAACATCAAAAATAACACTCAATACAAAAACAACAACAACAATATAAAATTACTAGTTATTAATTTCTAGTGAGAATTTTTTTTAAATTTAATAAATAACGTGAAAAATATTTGTGGGCTATGTACAGCATAGTTGAATAATAAATTAAGAATAAAATATAAAAAAATAAAAATAAAACGTTACTAGCGGTTAATTTCTAATGACAACTTTAAATTTAAAAATAATGTTACAAAGTAAGTACAAAATATTGGTGGACTAGCTACACATACTGACGGCAGCAGTTGAAATCAGAACACAACCAATCATCATCATCGTCATCAGAACCAAGTAGTCAAAGGTAAAGAGCACCTGTCGTGCTAAAATTACTCACTCTGGAGTCTACTCTGGACTCACGCTTGGTAATTTCTCATCGCAAGATTTGCTGAGGGCTTCAGCATTTGACTTCAGAGACTTCAATAAAGCCTCGTCACATTTTCCATCCTTACTCAGCTCTTCCATCATGGAAATAATATTACCAAGTGCCAAAATATTCTCATTGCCTGCACTCTTTACCTGGGCTATTGTTTCTTTGACTTTTTCGACTTCTTGCTTCAACACATCTGCATTAATGAAAAGTTCCCCGTCATTTAAAGCTTTATGCATCTCTTCTTTGATGTAACCAAGTAAACCCCAAGTGATATCCTTTACAAGTGTGCTTGCTCCTTGGAGTGCTCTCTCGATGGTGCTATCCACAGCATTGCTGCTTTCCCTCTTGTTCTCTTCTTGCTTTTGACGTTCAGCTACTACAGCTTCCAGTGCTTTAAGCATGCCATCTGCTTGGACTTCATCATTCAGAGCTGTCAGTGTGTCATGAGCGCTACTGGCTTGCGTGTTGCCCTTCTTGAAGTCTGCTTGTTCCATGGCAGTGCTCATACGCTTCAGAGTTTTTAGGTAGAAGGAAAGATTCCATCTTGTTTCAGTGCCAAAAATATTAATTTTTGCTGCTTGATCTCTAGCACCCTCCCTAGTGTTGAAGACTTTAGTAGAAAGGCTTGCCAGTGACAGTTTTAATCCATTATAGCACTCAAAAAGGGTGTTCAGTGCCTTTAATAACTGCTCAAATGCCATGTGAAGCTTGGGATTCAGTAGAAACTCTGAAAATTTCAACAAAGTGAATTACATACATGAACTTTTTGCAAATGATTTCCAATTTCTTGTCTTGAATTTGAATATGATTAAATTCAACATCTCAAACCCTATAATTTCCCAGTTGAGAAACTGGAGTTGACAATGATGAAGAGGTTGCATGTTAGGTTGCATTCCTAAGGGATGATCTGGATCAGGCTTTATGATCTCAGATCATTTGGACCATGGCGTACCATAGGGATTTACTATTGTTTCAGGATCAGTTGCCTGAAGTGCTTCAATGATTAAATTGAAAAGGAAACTCAGAGCAGTCTCTTGCTATCAATATGGAACCCCTTTCAGATCAGAATTGTTACTCCCAGGTACAGCTTGAACAACTCTTACACTTTTCACATCCTCTCCCTCTCTTAACTATGATGTGAATCCATCACTTGACAGACCAATCTCATCCCCAGAGCCTGCATGTATTTGGTCAGCAGTGACTGAAAGCCCAGTGCTCTGGATAAAGTAAAAGACCAGAACCAGAAAATCCTGGCTCCATTTTCATTGTGTGCATGGGTTCAGTTTTAATAATGGTTTCTGAACATGCGTAGAGCAAGTGCCTGCTGCAGCTAATGCTGGCTTATGCTTAAGGGGCGGGGTGGGGGTCAGAACCTCTCACTTCCCATACCCTGCTCTCCTGCTTCCCATACCCTTACCTCCCAAGTGTACATGGGGTGGGGTTCTCATGGGCCAAAAAATTAGATTGTGTTAACTGTAGGTAGTGTTAGCTGACACTATCCACCAATAAAACAACCAACAGTCGGTCGATACAGTAGCCGTCAACCCCGAGCCAATACACAACCAATGTATCAGCCAACAGTCAGTCAAGTGTCGGTTGAGTATAAGACATAGTTGAGTGTAGGGTTGGGTATCCATCGAGTATCAGTCCATACATCAGCCAATATGTTTGCCAGTCAAGTGTTGGTCAAGTAAGGACCCAAATTTGATCAGCATTCAACTGATACTCAACCATAACTTGACCAACTGTTGGCTGATATATTGGCCGTGTATCAGCCAAGTGTCAAGCAATACTTGATCCACGTATCGACCCAGTGTCAGTCAATATATTGGTTGACAGTGCTGGCCTACAGTAAACATGATCCAAAAAAATTTAAGTCGAGTATAAAAAGGATGAGGGTGCTTGTCATACTTTTTAGGGGTTAAAAAGGCAGCTTTGGTACCTCTTAGGGTATTCAGCCCCAAAAGGTCCACAGCAGGAGCTTTTATGGTAAATTTTAGGGTATAATGAGCTGGAAAAAAAAAAAATGAAAAGAGATATTTGATAATCAACTGAATTTTAATTTTGGCCCAGAATTGGTTCCTCTTAGGGGTAAAAAAAAAAATTTCAAGCCATGCCCACAAAACAGGATCTTGGTACCTCCCTGGGGTTCTTTTTCGAAATCTCAGACAAGCACCCTAATCCTTTTTACATGGGAGTTCCCCCACGCCCCAGGAATTATGATGCTGAATTAGAATTTCTTGGGAGTTGAGGGGTTCAAACCAAACAACCTTTCATGAGGAGAGTACAAAGATTTTCTAGAATAACACATCCCAGACTTCAGACAATAAGAAAGAGTCTTTCAGCTCCTTTTAATTTCTGTATGTCATACTATATGGGAACTAAAAATGTAGCAGGTCGCAATGGAAAACAAGTGACTATATTGTGAACACACTTATCTTGAAATAAACTTTAATGTGGGGGTATCCAAATGAGCGTAGCCTGCAATACAGGCGTATTTTGGCGAGTGAGTACATTTGACAAACTGAGCACCATCTTGGATTTAAACTTGGAAGAGGTCTAGGGAGAGACGAAAAAGTGTCCTTGGGAGTAGGAGTGAGGCTGAAAGAGGAGTAAGGGATCAGGAGAGGAGGAGGGGAAGGAAAAATATGCCTGCCAGCATTCATTGTTTGTTTGAGAGATGCCATTTGTAAAGGAACAGAGTCTGTGATTGGTGCAGCATGGAGCTAATAGATTGATGCCTACCAATAAACTGTAAATCGATATATTGGAGTCACACAGACAATCAAGTCATCATGGATTAACACCACTATGAAACATTATTGAAACTCTGTAATGCACTGCAGACATTTTTGCGTTTCTTACGCAAATAATTGTTACTGTTGTTAGTGCAAGGGATTCACATCTGGATCACTCTTCACTAGCACAGAATGTACAGTAAAACCAGATTAGGCAGCAAATTCTCCCCTCTTCCAAAAAAAAAATTGTTTGTTTCAAAGGTATGTTTGCTGCTTAAATCAGTGTGCTTGTCAAAGATGTGTTGGTAAGATGCAAAATTTCCTGTCAGAGTGGGTTGGAGACACGATTAGAAAATCGCAGAGAATCATGCACAAATGGCGTAACCAGCTTAACTGCATATTTTGGCTAGTACAACTCCAAAATCAATCCTGCCGTTTCAGTGACTTGAAAGATTCTCAGACGAAGAATGGCTTTGTTTGCCAACTTTTCAAAACTTCACATGTCATATTCTCACTGATGTTTGGCATCATTTGGACTCTGCATGTGTTTTTGATTTTAATGGGAAGTGAATCTTAGCTTTTAGTTCATTTTCACAAACTGGTTGATCATTTCCGGAAGATCAGTGAACCATAACTGATTAGGGGGTGTTTCATGTTTCCATAGCCCGTGTGGGCAGATGTTTTTTCCCCACCTTCTACCCCCACCGCCTCCCCGCACGCTTTTCCTAAGCCAACATGGTGGCGAATTTACTCAATCACCAGCTAATACCGACAACTCATGAAACCACGGAAAACACCTACACTGCAGGCTAAATGAGCTTAAAAGTTGCGCTGCAAGTTTGTCACTTAATGCACCTCTAATATCACAGAATAAACTCTGATGAACGCTCTGATTGGTACACAAGAAACCCTCAAAATTATGCTGCTCATGCAACAATTTGCATATTCCAACACGTCAGCTCGCACTATCACTTGCACTGTTTACATCTGTATGGGCCATTCCATTTTTTATCCACCCCCTCCTCCGCTGTTGACGAAATTTTCTGATAGGGTAAAAGGGAAGGTCGAAATTTCTTAAGGTCATGGTCCGTAGGCGTAATTTACCGAGGGGTATAACGAATAAGTCGAAAATTTCTGAAGGTCACGAGGACGCTTTTGAGATTTTCTGACAAGGTTAATTACCTTTTTTCTGAGGGGTCTTGAAAACCTTTGATCTTTTTCTTAGGGGGTTGGCAGGGGGTTGATCTTTTTCTTAGGGGGTGATCTGAATCAGGATCAGTGATCCAAGACCACTAGAATCATAGGTCATAAGGAGCCGGTTCCTTTGATGCACCATGATCCGAGTGATCTTGGATCACTGATCACGCTGATGCAACATTACGCCCTGTCTTACTATTTAGTCTAGTGTTTGTTAAATCAAACTGTACAGATTAACTTAAGCCTACCTTCGTATGGATACTAGCCTGCGTAGCAGCCGTTTCCTTTGCTTTTCCAGGAGGAGAGATCGAACTAGCGATCGAGGGAGCGCGCCTGGGGTGAGCAAAAAATGGGGAGAAGTGGGGAGGGGGGTAAAAAAGTGAAGCAAGTTAGCTATGTATCACATCAAGTCACAACACTGGCGCAAACTGTTTAAAACAAACACCAAACCTTTGGAATTACAGTAAACTTACATTTTCAACTATTCTTCTAGTTGCTCATGTGAAATGTCTCCAGTCTGGTCTCCAGTCAGAGTCAGCTTTGATAGGTCAGCGGCGCCAGTCGAGGGAGTCGGATACGCATATGAAATACAAACACGTGCAATAATTTTCGCTGACGTATAAAGACGCCCTCTATATATTTGCTCTATTTCAGTTTTAAAAATCCACGCTCCTTGCGGCGCGTAAACGTACAAAAACATTATCCATCTACACAGCGCGGAGGATCTAACGTGGTGGACTGGAATCTAGTACAAATAATCTAAACATTCAAGATGGCGGATACCGGTGACTTTTTGACTGCAGACGATAAGGCCACAAACATGCAGTATGTGAATGACATAGAATATCTCAGTGAATGGCCTCCGGTAGAGGGAAGAGGAGAATCTGAAAAACTGACTCGGAGAAAAAGACAGAAAGTGGATCGTGTAGAGGAAAGAACTCTATGTGGTGGGTTAGAGAGTGAAGGCGTGTTGTGGGCTCGGCCTGCCCTGGCAAGATGGTGGAGAAAGAGACAAAAAGACAGAAATCATCTAGATTCCGTAAATATGCCAAAATCAGATAATCCAAATACATTGCTCAAATATGTTGCTAGGTAGGTATTACCACTGTCATTTTGCATTTTACCTCAGAGTGGGAGTGGAGGTGAGTTGGGGGAAGCGGCGCGGGGGGGGGGGGGGGNTTTGATCTTGGGGGTGGGGTGGGTGAGTCTCTCGGAGTCTTTTCAATAGAATCATTTAGACCAGGTAGATCTTCATCTGAATCAAAATTGATCTCATCTTTGCTTGGCTTCGCGGTAGGGGAGCCTGGTGCTAAATCATAAATTTGAGTGATCGATTTTGGACCTTGTACAGTCAAACCTGTGTTAGGCGGACATTCTCAGGACCCTTGCTAGTGTCTGCTTAATACAGGTTTTCCGCTGAAAACAGGTTCCCCAGAACTCTTCTTAAAGGGCTCATATAATATTCCCTAGTATTAAAAGGCCTTGAAAGTAGTAATTATGTTAGTTTAAAATTCTTATAATAATACCTTTTTCCTTCCCAGAATGGCTAAGACCTTATGCCGTAATATGTTTTACAGTAATCAAAATAAACTTTTAACTTTTTTAAACTATGGAAATTGATTTTTAACTTTTCAAAACAATGGTGATTAATTTCTAAAATTTCTCTTAACCGTTAGCTGTAAAGAGGCCAAATTATGAACTGTTAGCCGTAAAAGCCACCACCCCATTAAGCTTCATTGAGACCATCTGTGAAGGATCACACAATCATGAAACAAGAATTTAAGCTCTGTAAAAGCAAAATGAAATGCTAAAATGTCGCATTTCTGCGACAGCTCTATCTAGGGAAACGTGGGAAAAACATGCATCCTTTTAGCAGTGTCCTTTTAATACAGGTTTCTAACAATAGAAATAACAATAAAAGTCAAGTTTAAGTTTTCGTTGAATACTGGTATTTGTTATAATAAATGTGAGGGGGGGGGAATGGGACTTCTGCTGCTGTTCGCTTAGAGGGTGTCTGCTTAATTTGGGGTCCGCTTAATACAGGTTTGACTGTATTGCACACACATCACCATTTTGTCAAGCACTTGACATACAATTGTGAGAGTGAGATCAGTTATACAGTGAAAACCAGTGTGGATCCGGGGGGGGGGAATCTCATATAAAAAGGACAGGGGTACTCATCAGAAATTTTGAAAAGAACTCCTAAGAGGTACCAAGATCCTGCTTTATGGGCGTGGCTTGAAATTTTTTCCACCCCTAAGAGGTACCAAATTCTGAGACAAAATCAAAACTCAGGTCATATCTCCTGTCATATTTTTTTCGGCTCATTACGCTAAAAGGTGCCGCAAAAACTCCCACTGTGGACCTTTTGAAGCTGAACACCCTAAGAGGTACCAAAAACACTTTTTAATCCCTGAAAGGTACGATGAACTCCCGCCTCCTTTTTATATGGGATTACCCCCCCCCCGCCCCCCACCGTATGGATCCATGCCTGAAGCCCCCCTAACCATTAGAACACCACACTTCCAGTGCTATTTAGACTAGCTATAATCTGTTATGCATTGTTGTATCCTGTCATTAAAATACTGGAATAATGTATTACTGGTATTTTCATGAACCTCAAAGTTAAAAACTTACTTTTTTAAATTAGCGTATAGCATGCCATAGTTTTATAATATGATTTTTAAATTGTATTATTTTTAGACACTTTTTTCTTATATTTTATCAAAGCACTTAAGAATGTTTTATAAAAATTTTAGTGTTATATAAATCTATTATTATTGTTATTATAGGTTTTCCAAGGTGATTTTAATAAAGTTCTTGCTGTTAGAGCGGTTTTCAATTGAGTGTCGTAAAATCAAAACCAAAACCAATTACTTACCAATTAGACTTCTCAGCTAATCTCAAACTGTAGTAAAACCAAAACCAAAACCAAAGTAATTGTCTAATTACTTTTG